AGGGGCTCTTTGAGCAAATGGCTACTGTCCTGTGAGGGGATGATTCGGCAAAAAACTGCCACTGCTGTCTAGCTCTCCAAACTCCCAAATCTCTCCACACTGTTCCAGTCCAGTCTGCCCTCCCTCTGCTGGAGCCCAAGGTGAGTGGCTGCAGCTAATTTAGTGCTCTATCCCAGCCCTCCGCACTGTGGTGCTGGCTTGTGATTTTTACCCAGAGGGAGCTGCTTGCAGCTAAAGTGGCTGCTGTTTGTGGGCTCTCAGTCCACCTTGTTATGCCTCCACAGTTCCTACCAGGTTCAATTTAGTGTCCTTTTCCTGTCCTTGATTATATGGGTCCTCTCCAGTTGCTTTTCTGTTGGTTTTTCCTGACAGTTTTTTTTATTTTAGTTGTAATTGCAGTTTGGTCCAGGGAGATGGTTTGTGTAGCTTCCATTCACTCCCCCACCATTTTGGAATCCCCCTCTGAGCTACCTTTAAATTGTTTATATCTCCATCTGCAAGGGAGACTAAAAAAATTTCTTCATTTGGTTACATTGCCCCCCCCCCCCCTAATAATATAGAGTCCCTTGCTAAAGAAGAAAGGCAAACTTGATATTAAGTAAGATACTAGGGGTCTCTGCTATAATTAGATTTACTTGTTAGAAAAATAATTACAGTTACCACATGGAAGTTGGATTGAAGTAGAGACACTTACGTAGGTAGAGTAGTAGGAGAATATTTTAGTATTTGAGGCAAGAAGTATTAAAGTACTACATTAAAGCACTTCACTGGATATGGTGATAAGAAGTAATATAGTCAGGAAATACAGTCAGTAAGATTCCATCATAATTGATGGAAATCAGTTGAAGAAAGGCTAGAACAGTGCACCTAGTACTTAGTATATAGCTTCACACAATTTTAGCACTCAATATATACTTTTTGAATAAATTAATTATTTTGGTGGATGATAATAATATTAATCATTGCCCTGGCCAGTGTGGCTCAGCAGTTGAGCATCATCCTGTGAACCAGAGAGTCCTGAGTTTGGTTCCTGCTAGTGGCACATACCACAAAAAATATATATACATATAATATATATATATAATATATATATTAATCAAGCTTACAAATAAAAGACAATTGGGTGAAAGGTGTGAAATATTATTCATTAAGTTTTAAGTTTTAAGTGCATTGAATTTGGGCCTTGCATGACTCATCCAAATGGAGAAATCAACTAAAAATATGGATCTGAAATTTAAGAAAAAGATATGGAATAGAAATGTATATTTAAGAGTCACTAATGAGCCCTGGCCAGTTTGGCTCAGCGGTTAGAGCGTCGGCCTGCGGTCCGGAGAGACCCGGGTTCGGTTCCCGCTAAGGGCACGTACTTCGGTTGCAGTTTGTCCCCGGCCCTGGTTGGTCGTGCGGGTGGCAGCCACTCGATGTGTCCCTTCACGTCGATGTTTCTCTCTCTCTCTCCTTCCTCTCTCTCCCTCCCACTCTATCTGTACAAAAAATGGAAAATATCCTCGGGTGAGGATAAAAAAAAAAAAAGAGTCACTAATGAGTAAATATATAGTTTATAAATGAAGCCATAGGAAAGATGAGCTAAATAACAGAGGATAGACCAAAGACAAGAATAGGACCTAAAATGAAACCTTTATGGAAGCTAGTATTTACTATAGGTAGAGCAAGAAAAACTAAAAGTGGCCTTGAGAAGTAGTTAACAAGAAAGTAGATGGGAATCAAAAACAAACAAAGAAAATAATGTATAAGAAGGCAAAAGGAGAAGGTAGTTTCAAGAAAGAGAGTGTGGTTATCTGTCAAATGCTTCAGAAAAGAAGTCATCACTCATGAATATTATTTGCTCCAACAGGGATGCTATCAAAGTGTCTAAGTACAAAAAGTCAAAAGTTTTAGCAAAAACAAATAACATACTATCATAAAACCTGTATCTATACCTGATTTCCAGGGTATATTAAATGTAAAGTCAAGGTCCAGATTAGTACACATAATATTCTGTCTTCTGTGTGAGAAAAGGGACAAATTGCAATATATATTTATATTTGCTTGTATTTTCATAAAGAAACAGAGAAAGAATATATGAATGACCAATGAGAGCAAGACTGCCAAATGTGTACATGTGTTTTTTATTTCTGAATATGAATATACTACCTTTAAAAATTTTAACTTAATAATTTAAGAAAATTCCATGCTATCAATGAAGAGCAAGAACAAAGCTGTGTAAGATAACTATTTGTCCAATAGTTTTGTTTACTCTCAGATTAGGAGAGTTAAACTAATAATTCACCACATATGCATGATAGCTGACTCTTCTTGCTACAAAGAAAGGCAACAGATTGAGGGTTTCAAAGAGGTCAGAAGATTGTTAGAGTGATACTATTAGACTAAAAGAATGAGAAGGATCAGAGTTACTGGATTAAATGAAAGAATAAAGCCTAATACACAGTAAGTACTCAAAAAATGTAGACTTAAATTATCAATGAATGAGAGGTAGTTACTGGGAGGTCATGAGATAACAATAACAAGAAGTACTAATGGTAGTTGTAAATTGACCTATTAGTTTTTAAGTTCTCTTTGATAGACAAGTGGTGGGAGTTAATTAAAGCAAATCTCACACTATAATCTAGCATGCCTAGACATTCATTAGCAAAGCAGATATAAAACATTTCATACAGCTTATTCAGTGAACTCAAAAAAGGCCCAGTTCTCTCTCCTTTTAGGTTCTCTGATTGCACCTTAAATGGAAGGTCCACTCAGGCATACTCAGCCACAATCCAGAGACAGAATTCTGTGTCTTCTGGCAATGGACATCATAAATGTTCCTATAGACTGGCTGGTGTGGCTTAGTTAGATGTCATCCCCTATTAGGAGGCCACCAGTTTGATTCCCCAAGAGGGTGCATACCCAGGATTCAGGCTCCATCCCCAGTAGGGGGCATACAGAAAGCAGCTGATGGATATTTCTCTCTCATCAATGTTTCTACCTTTCCTTCTCCCTTCTTCTCTCTAAAATCAAGAAAAACTTTTTTTAATTTATTTATTTATTTATTTATTATTTTTTTAACATTCACCCGAGGACATTTTTCCATTTTTTGTTCAGACAGAGTGGGAGAGAGAGAGAGAGAAACATCGATGTGAAAGGGACACATAGAGTGGCTGCCACCCACACGACCAACCAGGGCCGGGGACAAACTGCAACCCAGGTACGCACCCTTAGCAGGAACCAAACCTGGGTTTCTCTGGACCGCAGGCCAACACTCTAACCGCTGAGCAAAACCAGCCAGGGCAAACTTTTTTATTTTTTTTAATGAAATGTTTCTATATTAATGGCTGGATACCAGATTGGTTAGAGATAAAAGTTCAGATTCCATTCATATGTGTAAAGAATATAGACCTCCCTAGATTCTTATTCTTTGTTCATGCAAGGGCTGGGAATGATTAAAGTATGTTTAGGCAAATACACTTGTTTTGAATACCTTTAATTTCAACAAAGAAGCCCATATTTAGTATTCATCATGCTACTCAACAGACTATTATTTTCACTAATAAAACCTCATTTTGGGCCCTGGCTGGTTTGGCTCAGGTTAGAGCATCGACCCATGGACCAAAGAGTCACGGGTTTGATTCTGTCAAGGGCGCATACTTTGATTTTGGTTTGTCCCTGGCCCTGGTTGGGGTCATGTGGGAGGCAACCAGTCAATGTGTTCCTCTCACATCAATGTTTCTCTCTCTCTCCCTCCCTCCCACTCTGTCTGGAGATAAATAGAAGGAGAAAAAAAATATCCTTGGGTGAGGATTTTTAAAAACCCCCACTATTTTGGACATTGAGTATGCTAATTAGAAAACAGGCAAAATCTATAGCTTAATAGTATCTGCCTGAAGAGGATTGTTCACTAGTATATTATGCTATTACCCCTTGGTTAGGATAATGGATTATCTCTAGAGTTTGAACTAATCAATACATAATGATACACTGGTTTTGTTTAAACATTTTAGGGAAAATAAACATTGTAATGGGGGAAAGTTTGATGACATGGATTTTTCAAAGGAGAAAAGACATTTTGGAGGCGTCAGGCCTTGAATTATAGGTAGTATGTAATCAGAGGGAAGTTGTGTCTCCACTTAAGAGGGCTTCAGGAGAAATAATATCCTTAAAAGACAGCTGTGTTTTTCAACTCAAACAAGAAGGTAAATTAGAGGTGCAAAGTAGTGTTTTGATAAATGTCCATATAATGTATGACTTTGAACAAGTCACTTACCTTCTGTATGCCTCAGTTTCCTTAGTTGCAAAATGAAGATTCAAATAACATCTGCCTGATAGGCCATAGTGAGTATTAAATTAGATAATACTTATGAAGTGCTTAAAAATAATGTCTGTAATAGTAAGTGCCCACTCAATACCTGTTAGTTGGTGCTTTCATAGCTTCCCCTTTTCTTCATAAGAATATTTATAAATTTCATCAGAAATTTATGGAACTCTGAGATGAAGAATAATAAGTTTTTCATGCCAGAACAAAGATTCTGGACAGTTCTCAAAATTTTCTTTTTTCTAGATAAATAGTCTTGAAATTGGTAATGAGAATTTTGAGGTAACAATTTCTCTGTGGGAATTAGATGTCTAAATTTAAACTATTTCGGCTATTCTCTTTTTTTTACTTTATTGATTTTGGAGAGAGAGGAAGTGAGAAGAGAGAAATAGAAACATATATGAGAGAGAACATCGATTGACTGCTTCCTGAATGCCCCACACTGGGGATCGGGCCCACAACCTGGGCATGTGCCCTGACCCGGAATCAAACCAGCGACCCCTTGGTGCATGAGTCGACACTCAACCACTGAGCCACACTGGCCAGACTATTAGGCTATTCTTAAAAATAATTTCTTTTTCCCAAATTTTTAAAGTAGTATTTTATCATTGACCAATTAAACTGCATATAAAGAGATTGTTGAAGATAAAGTGATTCTGTGCTATTTGATCTTTCTTTATTATCCCCCTAGTTTTTCAAAAACCTGTGCCTCCGTTAGAAGAGGCCCTCAAACAAATTCAAGAATCCAACTTAAAATCAAAAGTAAACTTTTCCTCTTCCCACAGACCAGCAATAAACTGGAGGTAAGTAATATATGATTATTATGTATAATTATTAATATATAATAGTTAAATAGTTTTCTACTTGCTGAGTTTGTAGGCTTTTTCATCAGTTACTCCTCATTTATGTTTTAGTTAATATTTTATTTTTACAGATTAAATTAAAAGGGAATGCAATATAAATTGCTTCAAGAATAAGGCAAAATTTCAATTTGTTGTGTTTGGTATTACATTGCTGCTTTTGTTGAATAATTCTCTATGGAAATTATCATCAAAACCATTTTAAAATATTGATATTTGTTATTTATCTTTATCAAGCTGAAGAAATTGTGCTACTTATAGTGATATAATTTTAACTAAAAGGAGTAAGTCTGTGGTAGAAATGGGTTTTTCCTCACTGAAAGTCTTTCCTTGGTGTCTTTTTATTGTTTTCGCTTTTAGAGGGGAGTGGGGGAGAAATATCAATGAGAGAGAATATCGACTGTCTGCCTCCTGCATGCTGGGGATTAGGCCTACATCCTGGGCATGTGCCCTGACCAGGAATCAAACTGGCTATCTCTTGGTGCATGGGTCGATGCTCAACCACTGAGCCACACCAGCCGGGCTGTCCTTAGTGTCTTGAAAAAACTATAATGTCTCCTGCTTCCTCTCCAGGTTAGCTTAAATGAGTCATCTAGAAGCAATAGGATGGACGAACCAACTACACAGTACTCTCTGAATCCTGTATTTTCCACTTGTTTATTATAAATGTTTGTTGAAGCTACTATATGCAAAGCACTAGATCAAGCATTGTAAAGGGGATATGGAGAAGTATAACATTGCAAAATACAAATCTCTATTATATAATCTAGGAGAGAAGTGAAATAATGCTTCAAAAGTATAAAATAGTGCCAAACAATTAAAGATAATAATATTTAATATTTATTTGTATAAAAACAGCTACACTTCAGACATAAAGTATGTTAATATTTCACTGTACATAATGTATTTAGTAAAGTACTTCCATTTTTATTTTTTATTTATTTATTTATTTATTATCCTCACCCGAGGACATTTTTCCATATTTTTGTTCAGATAGAGTGGGAGGGAGAGGGAGAGAGAGAGAGAAACATCAACGTGAAAGGGACACATCGAGTGGTTGCCACCCGCACAACCCAACCAGGGCCAGGGACAAACTGCAACCGCGGTACATGCCCTTAGCGGGAACCGAACCCGGATCTCTCTGGACCGCAGGCCAACGTTCTAACTGCTGAGCCAAACCGGCCAGGGCAGTACTTCCATTTTTAGAATTCCTGTGGCCAATAGCTTCCTTGATCAGAGCTAAGAACAATTTAATTCATACTCTCAGTCTTCATTATAGTTCAGGAAAGATCTCATGGAAGAGGAGGACATCTTCAGCAAAACTTTGAAGAAAATAGGAGTTAATAATGAAACAAGTAGGTAAATGGCATTTCAGACAGAGGGACGAGCATATGCAAAGGCCAAGAATAATTGAAGGAAAGATGTGTTCTAGGAGTGAGTATGGCTGAATGATAGAATGCAAAACACCAATAATAGATTGGCTAGATATGAGATTGGTGAGGTAAATACATCTGCATGCATAGAATATAAACTTTATTCTGAGAGTTCAAGAGATGCTAATGAATCATTTTAAGCCAATGGGTGATAAGATCAACTTTTCTTTTTTTTTTTTATCCCCACCCAAGGACATTTTTTGTTCAGATAGAGTGGGAGGGGGAGAGAGAGAGAGAGAGAGAGAGAAAACATCGATGTGAAAGGGACACATTGAGTGGCTGCCTCCCACAAGACCCAACCAGATCTGGGAACAAACTGCAACCGAGGTACGTGCCCTTAGTGGGAACTGAACCCAGGTCTCTCCAGACCACAGGCCAATGCTCTAACCACTTAGCAAACCAGCCAAGGCTCAACTTTTCTTTTTTAATATATCATTTTAATTTATTGTGAACAAGTGTGGATAATGGATGAAAGAGGACAAAAAAAGTCTATTTCATCAGTAATTGAAATTATATGGCTCTAGAGCTCAAGAGAAAGATCTAAGCTTAAGATATTTAAAGCTAACACGATAATGAGATCAACTATGGAGAATTATGTGCTGTGATAACAAGACTAGGCTAAAACACTAAGGAACAGTAGCATTAAGAAGTGAAAAAGGCCCTGGCCGGTTTGGCTCAGCGGTTAGAGCGTCGGCCTGCGGTCCGGAGAGACCTGGGTTCGGTTCCCGCTAAGGGCACGTACTTCGGTTGCAGTTTGTCCCCGGCCCTGGTTGGTCGTGCGGGTGGCAGCCACTCGATGTGTCCCTTCACGTTGATGTTTCTCTCTCTCTCTCCCTTCCTCTCTCTCCCTCCCACTCTATCTGTACAAAAAATGGAAAAATATCCTCGGGTGAGGATAAAAAAAAAAAAAAAGTGAAAAAGCCTGGCCTGTGTGGCTCAGTGGTTGAGCATCGACCAATGCACCAAATGGTCACCAGTTTGATTCCTGGTCAGAGTACATACCCAGGTTGTGGGCCAGATCCCCAGTGAAGAACATGCAGGAGGCAGCCAATCGATGTTCTCTCTCATCATTATTTCTCTCTCCTCTTCCTTCTTCTCCCTCTAAAATCAATAAAGAAAAAAAAAATTTTTTTAAGAAGTGAAAAAAAGAGAAGCCTGCAAATAGGAATAGAATGGTTGACATCAGACTAGCAAGGCTGGTATCATGGAAACTAAAGAAGGATACAGTTTCATGGGAGGGGGTAAAAACAGTTTATGGAGATCAGATTGCTTCCAGGGAACCAGTAATAAAAACTTATATCCACCAGGAAACAGGTGGCACATTTAAAAGGGGTAAGCGAAGAAAAGGTTGTTAAAGGACTGGGAAGCCAACTAAGGATGATGAAGCACCCCTAGAACTGACAACAAAGGCAGTATGACCACCACAGACCTGAACTGAGAAGAGCTGCAGCTATAGAAGAGGGCTGCCGGACAGGGCCTGCAGATCTAGGTAGAGGAGCATTGCCACTGCTAAACCAAGCCAGCCCAGCAGAGAGAAAGCCAGAGGAATAAATATCAAAATGTCTTTTTTCTGTCACCCTTCCATTTCTTGCTAATGCCTTACATCGGCCAAACTCAGCCAAAAAGCAAAAAGCCAGTGATCATTCAGTCTCTGCCAAGCAGAGACAAGTGGAGAAGTGAATCTGGAGAGGCAAAGAGAGAATATCCAGAATAGAAGCAATGTTTCACTATATTCCACAACAAAAAGTCACACGGGCAACTTTTGTCAGAGCAACTTTTATCAGAGGCATGAGGACAGCAAAGAGATTGCAATGAGTTGTAAAGAAATAGAGGAAGAAAGTAAAGATAAGTGTAGCTTGGCTGTGAAATGAAAAGAGTAATAGAACAATAGCCAGACAGAATAGAAATGTGAATGAGATATGGTCCTTTCTCCAAAAAAAATATTGCAGTGAAATTATACCATGTAATGATAGTTACATTATAGTACATGTGTAATGCCATGTAATGGGGCCAATTACAGAAATATTAGCATAGTGATTTTTAAAAGTACAAAATTCGAAGTTGTGAAGAGTACCTAAAGGATGAGTATGAATTGTTTAATAAAGAAGCATAGTTTGAGCCCAGCCTGTGTGGCTCAGTGGATTGAGCATCGACCCATGCACCAAGAAGTCGCTGGTTCAATTCCCAGTCATGGCACATGCCCAGGTTAGGGGCTCGATCCCCAGTAAGGGGTGTGCAGGAGGCAGCTGATTGATGTTTCTACCTCTCCCTTTCTCTCTCTAAAATCAATAAAAATATATATATTTTTTAAAAACATAGGTTGAGTTTAGGCATGTTTAGGGCTACAGTGTTGTAAAAGGCACAGATCCCTAAGGAAATAAAACTTGTTCAGAGTGGAGGGCTATAGGATATGTTGCTGGTAGGACAGGAGATGATCTAGAATGCAGATTGGGATCAGATTTGAAATGCTTATGTGTCTAGCTAGGAAGTTTGAACTTTAACCTAAAACTAGTAGAGAATCAGTGGAGGTTATTTTAGAAAGATTATTGGTTTGTGAATGTTGGAAAATGAAAAGGATGGAGAGGAATTGGAGGCAAGGAGACCAGAAAAAATTAATGGGAAAATTCAAGGAATAGATTAACACTGCCTAAACTATTTTGTGTAGTGAAGAAAGGACATCTGATAAAGACTAAAGATACTTTGAGTATAAGAAAAGGATGAGAAAGAAGAAAGAATGAAAATGCCTTTTCATGATACAGAGAAGTGTGAAATAAAGAAAACAGTTTAAAAATGTTTGTCAAGAATAAGTATAAGAATTGGAGTATGGAGAGAATAGTAGCAGGAAAATCACAGGGATCCAGCTGTGAATTTATTTATCTATTTGTTTGCTTGTTTGTTTTTTAATTTTGGTACGTGCCCATAGCGGGAACTGAACCCGGGACTCTCTGGTCTGCAGGCCGACACTCCATCCACTGAGCCAAACCTGCCAAGGCAGCCACCTGTGAATTTAAAAGGACTAATGTTAATAGGGTGTTAGTTAAGTAGATAAGAAAAAATGAAGGAAAAGATATTTCATGGGAAGAATAGATTATGACTTTGGTATATGATGGAATAAGGAAAATGTAAAAAGCAAAAAATAATCAAAAGCTGAAATTTTTACTCCTTTTTTAAATTTCTTTTTCTTTATTGATTTTAGAGAGAGGGGAAGGGAGAGGGGGAGAGAGATAGAAACATCGATGAAAGGGAACATCGATTGGCGGCCTCCTGCATGTCCCCCACTGGGGATTTGGCCCACAACCTGGGCATGTGTCCTGACCAGAAATTGAACCAGCAACCTCTTGGTGCATAGGTTGACACTCAACCACTGAGCTACACCGACCGGGCTTGAGTCTTAATAACTCCAGGAATTTGGTGATTTTAAAAATAAAAAGGGCCCTGGCCGGTTTGGCTCAGCGGTTAGAGCATTGGCCTGGGTTCAAGATGGGTTCAGTTCCCACTAAGGGCATGTAC